ATGTCCAGGCAGTGTTCTAAGCACTGCACATCTTTATAACGACCCTATGAGATATAGTTACTCTTATTATTCCATTTCCTCAAATAAGGAAACTTAGGAACAGAGACATTAACTTACCCAAAGTCACACAGCTCATAAGTAGTAGGAACATGAGTTGAGCCTAGAAAGTTCCAGAGTTTATGTTTTTAATCACTCCACTACATTGCTTGGATAAGAAATTGGTTGAGTTTCACAAGATAACAGTTCCTTGAACTTCACGTTACCTCCACATTTGGATTATACCTAGTAAGAATAAGCAGCCACAGCAATATGATATGATTTAATAAAAACTAAAGTTACCTCTTCTACAAATGATCTCCCTCACTGACCTTCTTTTGTCTGGAATTCTAATATTTAGAGTTTTACTTCTTTTACTTATCTTTTTGCAAATAACAATGGGAGGATTAAAACACTATACCAATGTCAGGTGCTGAAATGATAAAAATTGATAGTATAGTAGTTTGTAAAGTTACTTTGTCACTTCACAAGGCCCATAGGAACTTGGATAGGGAAGCTCTGAGGACAAGGAGCAAAGAAAGCCTTGTACTGGGATTGTGAATAGCTAGCTGGGTTCTACAGCTGAAGTAGCAACAGTGTTTTGTCAGATATCTTTTGTGCATAGGAAGCATCTTTTTGTGCAATGGAGATACTAAAAGTAGGAAGCAAGGATGAAAATGATGGTGGAGAAAACATTTGTGGAGCTCTTCAGTTAGGTTTTTTATGTATCTTATCTCATTACAGAAGATATTCATCATAATGTCCTGTGAGATTAAAAAAGAACTGACTTAGACCAGTAGTTCTCAACTGGGGGTGGTTTTGCCACCCAGGGGATATTTTGCGATGTCTGGAGACATTTTGATTGTCACGACTTGCAGGGAGGGGTGGAGCTACTGGACTCTAGTGGGTAGAGTCAGGGTTGCTACTCAATATCCTACCTGAGACAAAAAATTATCTGGTCTGAAATGTCAGTAGTACCAAGGTTGAAAAACTTTGTCTGACATCATAAGTAATTTGGTCAGCCCATATACCTGACAAGTATCAGGGTCAAGTATGGAATCCAAGGCATCTGATGACAAATCTTTTCCTTATTTCCTTACTCATCTTTTGGCATTTCAGTTTGACACAGGCAACAGCTTTAGGTTTTTGGAATTAAAAATGGTACTATTTAAAATGGTGTAAATTATTAATAGGCCTTTGTGCTTTGAAAGAGTCAGCTTACCCTTCAGAATGTGTAATATGTCCAGGCTGATGCTACTTCATGAAGATGAGTCTGTATAAAAAACACAAATGTCACCTTACTTATTGGGTTCCCATATGCCAACATTTCACAATATTTAGCAAATTATTTTATAAATAGGATTATGATTAACTCCTTTAATGCTATGTTTGTTATTGATGCAATTAAGATTTGATCACCACTCTATTTTGTCAGTACATCTGCTCGTTGGCAAATGAGGTATCAGATGGTCTTTACTGATCAGCTGTTATGTGTGTTTCTGTGGTGTGAATGAACAAAAGGCCTCCTGTCTGTATCGTTTTTAAAACAAAGCTTTCATTTAGCTTGTGCTAAATTTTTTTTATTGTACCTTTGAGACGTTTTATTATAAAATCCAGAACTCGTATACTCAAACTAATATGAACTTAAAATTAATCATACATCTACTTCATTTTTTAGCTTAATTTTCTAGAAATTGTTTAACTTCATTGATTCTGGCTGCTATACTCACATAAGAACATCCTCCTTTGGGTGATTTAAGAGCATAATTTATCAATGAGCATCTCTTACTTCTTCTATATTGGTGGTAGGACTTACACCTAGTATTAATGCTCCTTCCTGTTTTGTCATTTTGACTTCAAACCCACCTCTGTAATAGGCACCACTGAAGGCAGGTTTTAGTAGACTTTGAAAAACTTGTTTTACTTGGGGCTCCATGTGCTTCATGGCTTGCAGAACATACTGGTCTGTAGCAGCAATGGTCAGTCTAGCTGCTACCACTGTACTGGTGATGGCTGCAGCTCAGCTTCCCTGCCTCCACCAAGAGTTTATTCCATCCCAGGGGCTGAGTCCCCCAACTCAAGCCATTACCAGAAAGTGACTCAGCCATCATCCGCAGGTACAAACCACACAACCACAGGCACCCTAGCACCTAGACTGTATCTTATACATTGATTTGGGACGACTCAGTTAATTTGTATATTGATTTCAGATTGTCAGAAGTGATAGTCAAAGTGCAAAAAGAAGGCTTATTTAATTAATATATTAAAAGAAAGTATGTTAAGAGGATGTTGTTCAATTTTCCCTATATGTACAAATGACTAAATAAAAGGACATGATTTTAAAAAAATGAAAGAGAAGTACTACCTAATAGATACCAGGAAACATGCTAGGAGTCTCACTGACCACAGCTTACCTAATTTTTACTATCAACCTATGAGATTGATATTGTGAGCTCCATTTTATAAATGAGGAAGTTAGAAGTTAGGAAGTTCAGCAAGGTGCCTCCAGTCACACAGCTGGAACTGACAGAACTGGAGTATGAGACCCCATCCTTCTGACTCCACCATCCTTTGCAGGGCTTGTTCACCTTCATACTTTCTCATCAGCCTGAGTCGGAGAACCTGGAGTGGGGCCTCAGGAAAGCTGTAACTTGTCACCTCTCCCAGGGTGATGGAGATGCAAAGGATTACTCAAAGCCCATTCCTCCAGAGCAGTGAGAGGCCCGAAGCAGTTACCCCCAGGAATAATTCTTTCAAGAGAGGAAAGATCCCGGGAATAGCCCCAAATCAGGTTTTCTCTCCGTTTTTATTCTCCAGGAAAAAAAGTTACAGAAGAGGAACATAAGTGGTTACAAAAAGAACAATAAGATAATCGTCATACTTTCCCATCATAAGGTTTAGCTGCACCAAGGACATCTGCCCTTAGAGCAAGCATTTTTGCTGTGTTACAGTTTTTTTTAATCTATGACAGAGACTTTAGTCCTGGGAAAGTTTTCTGTTTTTTCTCAAGCTTGCATTTCTATGTGCAATACTAAAAAGTTAGACATTTGCTTTTTTAATGTTGGTATCCTCCATAGTAATTTCTTCATCCATGAGAACCTTCACAAAAAGTAAATAAAGCATTTGTGACCCACTGTATTTAAATCTTCACCTGTGCTTTAAAAATTCTTAGTCAAAAGTTCCAGAAAGTGAAGTTCTGCCCATCCAGACCTCTTGTTTCAAATAATTTGTAAAGGACTCTGTTACGGCTAGCTCTAGGGCCCGATGGTTCAGGCACTCTGAATTCCTACAACACACTATTGATTTTTCTCTTAAGATATTAATTTATTTACATATTCACCCAGCCACTTAAATATTTATAAGGTGTCTACCACATGTCATCCTGTTTACTAGATCCAGTAGGTCCAGTCATAAGACAAACACTATCCCTGCCCTCAGAAAAACTAATATTCCATGGGATAAGACAGCTAACAAGTAAACATACAACATCTAGATTGTGGTTAGTAGGGAGGAATAAAGGGCTTCAGGAAAAGAGACTAACAGGGAGATCCATTTTAAAAAGTGGGTCAGGAAAGTTCTATAAGAAAAAGCTACCTTTACGTTGAGGTCCTGAGGGTTGAAAAGGTGGTAGCTGTGTCCAGATGCAAGGGAATAATGCTCAAGGCAGGCGAAAAGGCCCTGAGGTGGAAGAGAGTTTCAAATACTCTAGTTCTATAAGAAAAAGCTACCTTTACGTTGAGGTCCTGAGGGTTGAAAAGGTGGTAGCTGTGTCCAGATGCAGGGGAATAATGCTCAAGGCAGGCGAAAAGGCCCTGAGGTGGAAGAGAGTTTCAAATACTCTAGGAACTTGCAGAAGGCCAGTCTGATGAAAGTTCATTAAAGGGTAAAAAGACTAAAATGAAATACAGAGGCTTTTTTTCTTTTTCTTTTTCTTTCTTTCTTTTTTTTTTTTTTTTGAAGCTAGATCTGTTAGGCATTATAGGCTCTAGAAAGGAATTTATTCGGAGTGCAGTGGCGAGCCAAGGATAGATCTTTAAGCCTGGGGAGAGAAGAAATCTGGTTTATATTTTTAAAGATCACCTGGCCACTGACTGAAGAATGGATTTGAAGTAGAAATAGGCAGACCAGTTAGGAGGCTGTTTTGATAGACTGTGTGAGAAAGAGGGAGCAGGAGAGATGGAAAAGTGGGTAGATTTGAAATACATAGCAGAAATTTAACAGACATCCACCTTGAATGAGCTATCTGTGTACATATTGTTTTTCTCCAACTAGCCTCTAAGCCAGGCTTTATGTTATTCATCTTTGAGTTGTCCTACTCCTCTTCTGGTAGTCATGTTGAATACAGTGTTCTCTAAAATCTTTCCTATTCCATCTTTTGTGTCTGACAGCAAAAGTGTTTTCATCTGCATGAAAGTAGATGTTTGTCCCTAATTCTGGGTCCTGACATGTGCCAAAGTCACACCAAGTTGTGGAATATTCTAATTTTTTTAAGTTCAGTTTTCACATCTTAAAAATGTATTGGCTGACATATTTCAGAAATAAATATGCTTAATAATACCTCATTTAATTTAAGCCTGTCATGTAGAAAAAAACACTTTCAATAAAAAGACATGAAGTAGACAATCAAGGGACTTTTTTTCTTATTCCTCATTAGCAGTTTTAAGACAAATGGTAATCTACAATAAGCCTTCGTTTGCATAACGTGGTTAGAGCTACCAAAGACAGAAAAATGATTACAACTTAATATTTATAATAGTTATTCCGACTGAATGTTGAGACCATTTTAGCAAGAAAAGTATTAAAACTGCTAAGCAAATGTAGAAAAATATCCTAAACAAAGATGAAGCAGTCAAATGATGTACCTATGATTTATAGTTTGGAAGATTACAGAATGACAGAAATAATTTCTAATAAGCCATATGACATAAACTTCACCATGTTTTGTTCATTTACTTTGATTTCAGAATTACCATTTCTGAAGATGGAAACCTCAGAATCATCAATGTGACTAAATCAGATGCTGGAAGTTACACCTGTATAGCCACTAACCATTTTGGAACCGCTAGCAGTACTGGAAACTTGGTAGTGAAAGGTAATGGCTAACCAAAAGAACTCGTAAATTAATATATGTGTCCTAATTTCCAATAATGTAATCTATAGAAGTGGCATCATTCATATTAATATGTATAGATATCACTGTGTTGCTGAATTAATTCATCATGGCAAACATGATATGATTAATAATTCTTAGAGAAATGTTGGTAATGAATATGATCGAAAGGCTATCTTATTTCAGAATCATCCAGTACAATTCTGAGGACTACAGCCATTGTGTCTATTATAGTACTGTAACTAATGTTATCTTCGATCCTTTAATTAAATTTCTTTCAAGTCTCTATAGATTTGAAATTCATTTCTAGGAACACTGCGCCAACAAATTAAAAACCCAAGACTCAAGTACTATTTTTAGCAAGCATTGTTTAAGTAGTGACATTGGTGATTTTTAAAAGAGCTGCTCTGGTTATTCTGAGATAGGATATGGCATAATAATAATAGAGTTGTGATCATCTCTGTACTTTTAGTCACCCAGCCAACCCTGTTAGTTTTAAGGAAATAAAATCTTCCACATACCTTAGCCTGGTGCTTTATAGTTTACAACAGAAAGTCCTTGATGCTCTTATCTCAGCTCATGGTGTGAGACTATTCCAGCACCAGGTTGATGGCGTGGAATGGAAGTGCGAAGTAAGAATTGTGGAAGATGAGATTTTAATTTAAATTTCATTGCATTTATGTCACTTTGTATCTTGCTCAATCGTAGGATTTTTGAGTTGAAGGGATCTTGCCAATGATTTAACTGAAGAAGATGAGGCTCAGATAAAGATGAGATTTTAATTTACATTTCATTGCATTTATGTCACTTTGTATCTTGCTCAAAAGTAGGATTTTTGAGTTGAAGGGATCTTGCCAATGATTTAACTGAAGAAGATGAGGCTCAGATTGTTGGCACTCTCAAGGTCACCAAGAGCAGAAAAGGGCCTTGAACCCAGGAATCCTGATTCTGAGTTCTCTGTTTCTTTACACTGTGCCAAGAAATTTTTTTACCCATTTTTCCAATTTCTGCCTAATAGATACAGATGGGTCATATCATATTATTTCCTTCTTGCCCATTTGTAGCTCCATCTGTAAAGTAAAGTAGCCTAAGACAAAGAAACATATCCAAAAATATTATTTACCTCAATTATAATTTATAGAAGGCTAAAAGTCACCTAACTATATATTTTAGGGTCATTGGAAATTGGAAATGTACTACCTTTTTGGGAAGTCTTGTTATCATGAACATACTTCTCTATGCAGATAGAAAATTTGAAGTACCAGAATTAGAAGTAAATCTGTATTTAGATCGACTCCAACTATTTCAGTCTATTAATTATTCCCTTAGAGCGATAGCATGACTGACTATGTATTCGCTCTGTTTCAGGAAAAAGGAAAAAGAGGTTAGATAATGTTTGTAAAACACAACTCCAGATATAGGTCTATGCTAATGTATGGCTATCTCAGCTGCAAAAGGAAATTTAGTGATCCTCTAAGACCAAGAGAGTTCCCAAGGTTTCAGAGATGATTACTGGCAGAGCTGCAACCTGTTACAGGTTATTTGCAAGTTATGGAGACAGAATACTAGGGAGCTGTCTTAAATCATGATTAAGGGGCAGAAATTATCTTTTTTTTTTTTTTTTTTTTGCAGCTGGCAGTATAGGTAACCAGCCAGCCGAAAGGGCGGGGATTAGAGTTAGAGATCTGGGTTTGAATCTCATTTCTTCCACTTTCTAGCTCTGTGACCTTGGACAAAATAATTCACCTGTGTGGGGATAATAGCAGTACCTGCCTCACAGCATAGTTCTGACGACTGCGATAATCCATGTGAAGTGATTAGCATGGTGCCTGGCACATAGGAAATAGTGGTAGTTGTTTTGTTGTTGTTGTTGTTTATGTTTTAATATTCTAAATCACATTGAAATGAACATTTATGAAGTTTCTGCCCCAATAAAATAATTAGCAAAGAGAAGTGAGCCTACCACAAAGAGATGACTAAAAGTGTGAAAGACTATAAGCACCTAAAAATAAAAATCATATACAAGGGTACTTCAAAAAGTTTGTGGAAAAATAGAATTGAAAGATAATACAAATCTTCCCATGAATCTTTTGAAGTACCCTCATATATGTTGTTTTATATTCTTGATAGTGGGGTATTTGCACTTGTAGGAACAAGTTATGTCCTGTATTTAATATAATCAAATAAGGACTTTGTTGTCCCTTTGAGAACTACAAAGGGACTAATTTATCAGGGAAGATGTTCTCTAACCTTTAGTCCTTCTTATAAGCACTGGCTTCCTTGGCTCTCAAGAGAGCTGGCAGAAAGGAACATCCTGTATTTCCCATCAGAGTGCATAACCCAGGGATAGCACCAGCCCCAGGACAAATCCATTCTCAACCAGCCATGCAGTTCCCTGCTGCTCTTCTCATCTGACTCATGGTACAAAGCTCACAGATACACCAGGGTTGAAATATGTCATGGTCACCTCATTTTTTGTGTGCACGTAAATATTGCTGAAATAGTAACTTCTACCTATTTTAAGTAAATAATTTATTTCTTGCCTTCTAGTAAAATGTGAACAGTGATTCCCCAAGTATTGTATAAGAGATAGTTTTAGGCAGCTTACAGTTAAACTTTTTTTTTTAATTTTAGTAATTATTTGTTTCTTTCAATGCACATTAGGAAAGCACTAGGTTTTCCATTAATCATGATGATAAAAAAAATCTTTGAAAATATAATTAAGTAAAGAAGTGTCAGTATAAAAGAAAAGTAGTAAGTATGCGTTGTTACAAGAAGATAAGCGAAAGTATGGTGAAGATGGCATGTGAATGACTAAAGCTGGGAAACATGATTTAAGGACAGTTTTCAGGAGTGTTTTAGTGGATGTATGGAAAGAACTTAGAGGGACATGTGACAGAATTAATGTGTCATACCTGTGCTGGCCACATATTTTGCTTAGGTACATGGAACACTTTAAAAACTGAATTTTCTGGGCCGGCCTGGTGGCGCACTGGAGAGTGCGCTGCTTGGGAGTGCGGCGGCGCTCCCGCCGAGGGTTCAGATCCCATGTGGAGACCGG